TCAGAAATACTTACTATCTTTATATGCAATCGAAATTACCAAAAATATCAATTTAACGATGAACCGAAAAATAAAATAAACGAAAACATAAATTTTATAAATAAATATATCCCTGAAGGAACAATATGTGTACATCTTGAGAAGTCTGAGGTAACTTTTTCCAAAATAATTCGATTATCAGAAATACTTACGAACTTGATATGCGATCGGAATTACCAAAAATATCAAATTAACGATGAACCGAAAAATAAAAGAAGCGAAAACATAAATTTTATAAATATATATTTTCCTGAAGAAACTTTTTGTGTACATCTTGAGAAGTCTGAGGTAACTTTTTCAATAGTGGTCGGATTACCAGAAATACTTACTCCCTTCATACGCAGTCGCAGTTAGCAGAAATATCAAAATAACGATGAACCGAATGAAAGAAACGAAAACATAAAATTTATAAATAAAAGCATTCCTGAAGGAACTTTATTGGTACATTTTGAGATCACTGAAGTAACTTTTTCCGGAGTGATTCGATTATCAGAAATACTTACACGCTTTATTTGAAGTCGAAGTTAGCAGAAATGTTAAATTAACGATGAACCGAAAAGTAAACGAAACGAAACCATAAAATTTATAAATAAAAATATTCTTGAAGGAGCATGATGTGTACATCTTGATAACACTAATGTAACTTTTTCAAGAGTGATTCGATAATCAAAAATACTTACTCTCTTCATATGCATTCGAAGTTAGCAGAAATATCAAATTAACGATGAACCGAATGAAAGAAACGAAAAGATAAAATTTATAAATAAAAATATTCCTGAAGAGACTTGATATGTTCAAATTGATATAATGTGAGATAACTTTTTTCAGTGTAAACTGTTTTATAGATATACTTACTAACTTTATGTGCACCCGAACGTAGAAGAAATATTAAATTAACGATGAACCGAAAAAGAAAAGAAACGAAAACTTAAAAATTATATATAAATACATTCCTAGGTGTACATCTTGATAAAATGTGAGATAACTGTTTTCAGAGTAATTCGATTACCAGAAGTACTTACCATCTTTATTTGAAGCTGAAGTTAACAGAAACATCAAATTAACGATGAATCGAAAAATAAAAGAAACGAAAACATAAAATTTATAAGAAAAATATTCCTGAAGGAACTTTATATGTACATCTTGACTGATGCAAGATAATTCTTTTGAGTCTAATTCGATTATCAGATGTACTTACCAGCTTTATATCCAGTTGCAGTTACCAAAAATATCAAATTAACGATGAACCGAAAAATAGAAGAAATGAAAACATCAAAGTTATAAATAAACATATTCCTGAAGTGACTTTATGTGTACATCTTGACTGATGCAAGATAACTCTTTTGAGTCTAATTCGATTATCAGAAATACTTACGCGCTTTTGTTTGAAGTCGAAGTTAGCAGGATTATCCAATTAACGATGAACCGAAAAATAAGAGCAACGAAAAGATATAAGTTATAAATAGAAATATTTCGGAAGGGAGTTTATGTATACATCCTGAGAAATATGAGTGAACTTGTTTCAGAGTAATTGGTGTACTGGGAGCACTTACCTTGTGAAACCGGAAGCAAAGACAAGATCAATAGAGTAACGAACAGAAATATATTAGTCATCTTTTCGCTTGTTTAGTTGAATCTTGGAAAAGAGGTGATGATTAATACAGAAAGTTATGCAAATTACGTTCTTTCACTCGTATAGTGCTTCAATTTTGAAAATCGTGCTATTTCAATTCAAGTGTTTAAACGCGATAAACTCTTCGTCGAATTTTTCCCGATTTTCTTTTTTCTTTGAAAAGTTTTTTTACGCCTGAGGTTACCGATAAATAATCAAAATAATTATAGATATGTAGTAAATGTGTGTCGAAGAAAAAAGGAACACAAGTACAAATGTAATTCAAATGCTTTTGTAGAATGCATACAAATCCACAAATCCTAAACGTTACGGCAATCCTTTCAAGAGATATGGGGGTATACTCGTTTTGGTTTTTTACCCGTAATGTATGTAACGCCTAAAAGGAAGTTCCGGAGGCGCTATAAAGTATATATATTTTTGATCAGCGTGAATCTCTGAATTGTTTGTACCATGTCTGTGTGTCTGTAGGATGTTTGTAAGGCGGACTCTCCTGATCGCATTAAAATTTTGCAGAAACACTTGAAGTTGATGCACACAGGTTGGTATGTAATGGGCCAAATCGGTCGGAGCAGAAGCTCCCAGCGTAAATTGAACGCAGCCCCGTTTTTCTTAACAAAAATTTGTGGGCTTTTGCTTGTTACTCCGAAATTCTTAAAGTTAGGAAGGTGAAATTTTCCACATTTACTCTGCGAAGCACTCTTCCCTTTACTTGCAGAAATGGAATAAATCGACCATGCCCACACAAAGATAAAAATGATAAAAAAATTTTTCACTTTTTTGAATGTGTTTTTCTCATAAGGCAATCAACACAGAATGTTTAAAACCATTTTGTACATTTCTCAAATATAGATATATGAACCGCCCAAACCGGATTAATTCTAAAATAAAAATGGTGGACACCACCACCTGGTGGATTCAATTTTCTTAGTAGTACCAGCGATGTGTTGTGAGGACCCTAAGTTATCCCTCCTTTTGGCCTCACGGGTTCTCCGCCTCTGGTGAGGGGAAGGTAGTGCTAGGATTAAGTTAGTAATAGGGTAAGTTAAAATAGTAGTAAGAATAGGATAGCGATAGGGATAGGTTAAGATGGAAATAATATAGAACAGAATAGATTCAGGTAGAAATAGGAATAGAGTAGGATAGATTAAGGTAGCCGTAGGGATAGACTAAGATAGCGATAGGGATAGGATAAGATAGAGGCAACATAGAATAGAATAGATTAAGATAGCAGCAGGGACAGGTTAAGATTGAAGTTTAGTTAAGTTAGTCGGGTTTAGACTCTTGCAGAGGAAAGTCTCGTTTTGAGAGGCGGTCGCGAGTAAATATAAATTTTCTTGCGCTTTCCTTCCTCCCTGGGCCGCTGAGCTGCCCCCCTCGTAGGAGAGGGACGAAAAGAATGCTAGATTCGTCCCCCGCAAAATATAACTTTCTTACTCGTGTTATTTTCGGTTTAAAAGACTAAGAATTATAAATGTTATACACTGACAAAAAAGTTGACCAAAAGAAACAGAAGGGTAGTATTGCACGCCAAATTTTGACTTGGTATCTCACAAAAATTCATTGCAAAAATAAAACCATTAACTTAAGAATCACTTGGCGTCAAAAGATCAGATCTTAGATTTTCAAAGCAATAGACCATAAAACTGGACCTTGAATAGCAACGAATTAGTGATATAGGGTTGTTGAAGAGAATCTGAAAAAAGAAGGCGTAAAGCCATCAAGAAGAACGCACAAAGATAAGAAATACAACAAAATGATTAATTTTTTAAGAGACACTCTACGTATGCTTTTTCTTCGTTTCCAAAATGAAGAAATTATTTAGCCTTAGTTTTATGTAGTTTTAGCGAGGGATGTTAAGTATAAATAACAAAGTACGTTTGTACGTTCGTTAAAAAAAAGTTAAATCTGTTGTAGGTAACTAGTTACATGGGCGGAGGATGTTGTTGTTATTTTGTCGGACAAAAATTGTGCTTGTGAATTGTTTTTCAATCTGATAAATTTTCCATTCCACACCTTTGCTTATTTTGTTTTAAATTTTTCTTTTAATTTTTATGGACGGAATGTAAGGGCTTAAACTTTCGCTAAAAAATCCACCACGAGAGCGAGTGCGAATGTTAATACCTAAACATTCATGCTCATTTATGCCAACTCGTTCTCAATTTCTTCTATTTTTGGAAACTTTGCATGTTCCTGATACCTTATAAACATACGATGCACTTAATGTAGCCGCGAGTATTGATTGATAAGTGTTCAAGTATTCTTCTTGGTACTTCCTCCCGATACACTTTTACCCGTAGTGAAATTAATTTCTATAGCATTCTTTACGTAACTAATCACTTTCGTCATGACAAGCATATTGAATTTATCAATCGATCGATCGACGCGCATTTTTTACGCAGCTAAGCGAATGTGTTCGGATCCGGCGAAACGATTTTTGAATTCGTGAATTGTTCGATGTGATATGGAACTGTGACTGTGTTTTTCACCCGGCGGGACAGCTAAGTAAATCTAAATGGTAAAAACATTCACTTCGTTACCCGATTTGCGTCTTTGTGCAAGGGCCTTTCCCATGTATTAACTAACGCAATTCGCAAATATTCACTTATTACACAACACATGCACGATGTTGATGCATAAATTCGTTGAGAAAATCATTTGTCCAGTTGTGAGTTATTGACAAGGTCGTACAGTTAGTTCGTGCTGCTCACATTAATGTAAAAAACTCACTTCGTTCACAAATGCATTTCTTTACAAATTCGCGGCGTTTTCGGAAATAAAAATGTGAGAGGTGAAGTACTTGACCTCTTCAAAATATAACGAACACCAATGATTATCTTCCTTAGATGATCTTTCTAAGATGATCATCTTTCGATTCAGTCGCTATCCAAGTTCAGTGATTGCCTAAATACTTTTTAAACGTAATTTATTTTTAGCTTTAATTCTAAGGCTGACAATTTCTGTATTATTTCATACGAACCTTATGTGTTTGTGTATATATTTAATTTCAAATTTCAATGGTCAGTTGAACAGCACTCATCTCTTTACAACCCACAGCAATTGTTGTCCATAGAACGTATTCAGTTGCTGCGAATGTATGTTACTCACAGAAGAATTTAAAATGACTTATTAATCGATTTTAAATAATTTTCTATCCGCCTTTCCACTTTTAAGGATTTCAGTTTGGATGAACATTAGCCGAATTTTTAAGAAACCAAATTCCAAAAACAATAAAGAAGATTATGGTCTGGCAAGGCCAATCATTAAATAATCTACACCATTTCGCCTAGTGCAGTATTTGTATTTGTATTTCATATAATAACGGAATTTCTTTAAAATTTATTTCTTCTCTACTTCGCCCTATACAGCAGCTGAAGTTAAAGAGAGAAATTATGAAAGCAGAGAAAAATCCAAAGTGCGTGTTTTTACAAACGAAATGCAACTAAAATAAATCAACAGCCGAATTCAATTAACTCTTAGAAGTAAATCTTATATTAATTATTATTAAAAACTAATATAGAATATTTAAGAAGAACTAAAGGAAAAACAACAATAATAATAAATAAATAATAATTCATGTATAAATATATAAGTGTAATACTTGCTGCCGCCATTTTGAGACATTTTGGTGAAATTTCGTACACTGACATGTTTTGACGCAAAGACGAACGGTGTAGATGGCGCTTCGGAAAATTTTTTTAAAATAAGTCTTTACAAGAAAGAAAGATACCTTTTGAGTATATTCGCGTCGAAAATTATATACAATATTTCAGCACTCTAAATAGCTGTCAAAAATTTGGTTTAAATAGGGCAATGTTTTGATTCCATTGCCATACAATCGCTCCCACGGAAAGTGAACCTTTAAAAGGGCAAAAAGTGCTAATATGCAATATTTTTAATGAAAATTCGTTCACAATAATAATTTGGCATGCAAATTAAGTTTGACTAAGAGTTTCCCCTCGTATTCACTCTGCTGCTCACACATCCCCACAACAAACTGCAATACCAGCGAGATCTAAACATTCCCACACTCACCCGGGACTTGGCTATCACAAACATATCCCAATTTAGCAAACTAATAAAATGTGTAATTGTTTTTTAACGAATAGCCATCTAGCCTTGTCCTCTATACGTGTAACATTATAACAGCCAGAAAGAAGTGTGGAGAAAGAAAGAGATAGAGAGTCGGCAGTCTGCGTCGTATTTGCATGATCGGTAAGTCTTATATATTTACCAACCACACCACTAGATACAGCTTCGACCAAACGCCACTCGTAACTAATATATGTTCTAGATTTAGAGGCACTAGAGATTGAACCCAGATACGCTAACTTGGTAGCCATGGTAGCCCAAGGCTCATGTACGCTTCGATCGTACTTAAATAAAGATTTGGATAAAATAGTGTGAAGTGAACTGAAAAATTACGATTCGATATAAAAACTAAAAATACAATGGGGTGTAATACAATTTTTCTCTAATGACACGTTTGTCTTCTGATACTTGCTATAAATTAAGGACTGAGGAAATTTTATACATAAATTAGGCAGCTAACTAACTAAAAAGTAAAAAATGAGGACAAAGCTTACGAAGACGAACATGGATAGCATAATAAAGGAATGTATCTCCCATATAAAATGTAGACAAAGGGGGTTTTTTTGTCATATAAAAGATCACTGGCGTATATCTGATGAAAAAATCGTAGACTCAGCCTATTGCGATTTTCTTACATACATAACGAGCATTTCCCTTAAAATTATTTTAAACAGCCTTAAAAACTTGAAAGTGTAGTGTTTCGTCCAAAATTTTTCTTACACTAACTTTGGTATTTTAGCATGGTACATATAAGTGACGGATCCTAATCATCCCAATTAAATTACGGTTTAGGGATAGCATTTACACTACTGATCCTTCATAGTTAGAGGGCGATAGAAATACGCAATTTTGGTAAGCACCCACCTAAGTTTTTCTGATAGAATATCAAAAGACCAACATCATTTCATTGTTGTTCATGACAATATCCCATCACGTGCGGCTAAAAGCAGCTCCCGCCAGGTTAGAAGTTCTCGAATGGGAAGTCCGTAAGTAGATAGTGCGCCCTACTTACTAAGACTCTTCTTTCGATTACCGCATGTTTACATCCATACTTGGCCTAGTTTCTAAGCAACGCTTTCGTTCGTGTCAGGTTGTGACGAATGGGCTAGTAACAAAAGGGGGCGAATTTTACTGGGATCTTATCAATAAATAACGAACAACAACAAGAGCCATAATTGTAAAGAGAAAGAGAGTCCGCCGAAAACACGACAGCATATTTAAAACTGAACTAAATATGGGTTAATTCTAAAAAGAATATGGTATTCACCACGATTAATGTTTTCTTACTAATTCCGATAGTAGATACTAGCAATATAGGTATCAAAATAAACGAACTTGGAGAGTAGAAGGCGAAATTAAAGTTTGGCTTATTTGTATTTTATGTTGGAAGGCTTTACTTCGCAGATAGCAATTAGCAATTATTTTTTATTCATACATTAAATATGTATACGTTTATGAAATATGTATATATAAAAATAATTTTAAGCAAAATATAGTATTAAACGAGGTGTGGACTAGTAGAAGCGAAGTTGAATGTAACGTTCCTTATAAGTAATCCAAAAAAGAAGATTTCTTTGATAGCGTTTGGAGCTTTACTGCTTGAAGTCTTGTATAGCATGGTTTCGTTTAACACAAGCTTTTGTACGAACGTTTCTACCGCGTCTCTAGGGGGTTATCTACACGTAATTTTGGGAAATATCTCCCTATGAGAAATTAAAATGTTTTAAAAGTGTTTCCATTATATTTATTTTGTTTGGACTCAACGTTGTTTTCTCTCGCTATTTCGTAAAGCTTTGACATACTTTGTAAAGAAGACCTTTTTACACGGCGCCTCTTCATCGCATAATATAAATTTTCACATTTTCAACATGTTGCCAAATATTGTTTTATTAAACAACAACAATAATTAGTCTTTTACACAGTTTCTGAATATTTTTTTGCTTCGGTGCTTTTCCCTACAGTCTTTATTTTCCAATATACATTTATTTCATATAGTTTATCGTCTGCCTCTTTGCCCTGATTTTACTGTTACTCACATCAAATGTTTTTTGAAATAAACAAGAGATTTAAAAAAAAAAAAATATCTTGCAGTTTTTAATTTGCTTTACTAGCACACACGATATTCAATTTCAATTTAAAAACACATGACTTTAATGTCTTCAACTCACTTAATGCCTTTGTTACCGCAATGTAGTTAATGATTACGCACAGAAGGAAAAAGTAAGAAAAACCAAATCCAATACACGATTAAAACTTTCCCAAGCGAAAACTTTATATATACATAGATGTATATATACTTGAAATCAATTTGACACACGTTATAGGAGGTAACGGTTTTCAATTTTTACAATTTTAAATGCTGTGTGGTTGCAAAACACCGCAGATCCATGAAATTTTCAAAACTTTTCGAAATAAACCGAATAACAAGGTGTGAAACAACGGAAAATGTTGAAATTCGTCACGTTCAAGAATGGCCCTTGAAAACGAAAGGATTGATTAACTCATATGCAGCTGACTGTCATTCTCTCTCTTCTTTCTCCCTCTCTCCGTAGTTGTACTGTTAAGATGTATGCTTTCTTGTTCCTAAGCTATTTCTATGACAATAAGTTTATCACGAAATAGGATTTGGTTTTACCAATCGGAGCAAATCAAAAAATCAGTAACGTCTTTTGCAAAAGCCCATGAACAAAAATCTCAAATACATTTATCCATACGATAGTGCGTATGATGGGTAAATAAATTCCTGTGTATTTATTAGGTTACGTTTTATGTTGTTGGCAATTTTCTATAAGCAATGCTGCCATATACTTAAACTATAGTAAGAAAATAGCGTGGTTACGCCTACTAATCATGTTCCGTTTGCAATACTGTAAGATACTCCTGAAAAAACCAAAAAACCTAAAAGTAAAACGATTGCTTAAGAATACGTAACGTTTGTAGCACTGTAAGATATCTGCAATAGAACTGATTTATCGGATTTACTCCAAAATGTAAATTTTGTAAACAATAATAAGCAGTAAAGCATGAAGCGTGCCTAAACGTTCGAGCTGAACGCTTTTGCGTAAATAACTCGATTGCTTTGCTGCAACGCTTCCACTTACAGCACCAAAGAAATTGATAAGAAATTGATAAGAAATGTTTTAAAGTAGAGCGTAAAGTAGCGTAATATATATATATATACCTATACGTGAACAATCGCGGATATATCCTTCTTTTGGCAGGTGCTTGTGTCGTTCACAAGCGTACGAATTGATATTACTGCGCTTCGTTAAATTGAAGTTAGTGTCCGTCCTTCGAAAGGAGGAAAACAGAAAAATCCATTTACTTATATTTGGAAACTACTCCAGCAGCCTTGCCGGAAAGTGTTTTTGTTGCTGCTGATACATCTGGTTTTTTTTCTTTTAAATGGAAATTTGAATGAACACAACTTTTTGGTGTTTAACCATCTAAATATATATCACAAATGTATACGTAATGATCCGCCCGTCTATGAATGTGATTGCTCATGATAATGCACTTTCGAAAATGCTTTTGTTGTGTCATTTTGTCAAGTCCTTTCGCTACAAACTACAGTTAGTCTCCGCTTGACGAGTATACAAATACGGCGATAAAGAGTTCGGCATCTCTATCTCTTAATATTATTCGCTATAATTTATTAAAATTACTTTTCTTTACTGTATGTGCCTTTATTTCAATACATGTTTAATGTTTTTTTGCAACACTTTTCACAAAAATAACATTTTTAACTGCATCGAGTCATCGGTATTAAGAAATAACACAGTTAGGCTTTTTATCTATAAAGCAATGCGTAAAATCAAATCACTCCAGAGGAGATAATACATATCGGGAAGCAGGTCAAAAGAATAGTAAATGTGTACGTCACCTACTGAGATGAGAACTCCAGAAAACTCTGGGTACAGTTAGGGAGATCATTATAGAGTGAAAAGAATATGGACAAGATGAACTTGTGTGGCACCAGATAAGACAAGAACAAGGCGAGAAAGACAAGAATTATAAAGCGTCCTTTGAAAACAATCATTCAAACAACTTTCAAACCATGAAGCCAGGCACGTCAATTTAAAGATTAATAAATTGTGATCTGACCAGCCTGCAATAATGAAGCGCTCACAGGAATCAACCGTGGTTACGTACAACTAGGTTTCTCCAACACTTCCTTCATTCATATTTTTCCCGTTTACTCTCTAACTTCATTTTCGAAGATACGCTCTATGAACTGACAACATTTTATGTCAGGTTACAGTGACCGTCCGGAGAATTGTTCGGTGAAAATTACTTTTATAACTGATCAAGAATATATACATTTTATTGAGTTTCTCAAGCTTCCTTTTGGGTATCACGTTATGGAAAAAAAACAAAATGAGCATACCCCCATCTTACAGTGGTGGGTGTAAAAAATGAAAAATAAGAAAACTTGTATGCGTTACAAAGTGCAATTAAAATTTAAAAAGATTGGAGCAATAACCCTTGATTATTGCTGAAGACGTTGAATAAATGTCTATTTAAATGCTTTTGTTGTATTTTCCTACAAAGTTCAGCCAAGATAAATGATTTAAAATATAAACAAAAAAGAGAACAATCGAATTGAAAAACATGTAAAATATGTTGTATCTGGATTGACCTCACATTGAAGTTTTCGCGATTACTTGATCTAGAAAAGAAAGTGAAGGCATGAACGAAAAGAAAAGTTGACGAAAATAACGACATTCAGGCGGAAAAAGATAGAGATTACAATGCTCGCAGCGACGAACATTTGATGTCATATGTGTATTGTGTAAATAATAATGTATTTTGAAATGCGAAAATGTCTTCCTGTAAAATTGTTCTGCGTGTAACGGTAATTTCAAAAAATTTAATATGATATACATATAATATTTAAAATAGAAAGTAATCGTACATGTACACAAGCAATATTAGATTTGAATAAAATAAGAATTTCATGTTGTCTGAACATTATCTGTATACCTGGTGGGGCTGGTAATTAGTCGCCTGATTTATGCCGGGGTAAACTCGTCAGTTGCAAGGGTCCAAGAAATTCATATTTTTTGGGATATTTTCTATCTGGAATTTTCTCTTTTACTTACGCTTCCACCTCGGATGGGACATAAGCTTCTTGTGACTTAATTCAAAGCACTAAATTTCATACGATCATCAATAAAAAACACACAAACGAAAACATTAAGTTTTCACGACGTAAATGTAATTATTGCTAAAGGACTTTGAAAGTATATTCCGAACAAGGGGCATAAAATGTTAATTATTAAATAATGATCGTTAAAGAGTCGTGTCCTTCTTGATAATAATAATTATGTTCAAGCGAGACACGATAACATTTTTCAATGACATTATATTACCTACGATGCCATATAAACGTATAGATAGTATACTAATTTTCTTTTCCCATAGGCGTAATAAAGCTTTAAACTAAATTAGTTAAACTGAAACGGTTCTCGTCCTTTTCACTCATGCTGCGTGCGAACATTATTTAGTCGAGTGAAAAGTTTAGTGCTATTTTTGAATTTTTTACCCGTAAAAACCCCAGTACTTTCAACATCACATATGGATACAGAGAAAATTCTTTAGATACGCCTGTTTGTAATCTCTCTTAATGCGATCAAATACGGGTGTTAGATCAAGCTAGCAAGTTTGTGAAAATTTTTTATTAATTTCAATGTACCATCATTCACGTTTCCTTTGAAATTTATGTCAAAGGTTTACCAAAGAATATTTTGAAATAATGTTTCATTTCTTTGACAGAATATGTTTGTTATATTTATCGTTTATTTTACTTTATTTGTAACCATACAATATTTTGTTGCTGGACAATGCAATCCAGACAATTCGACCTTCAACCAATCTCTTGCTCTCGCCAAGTGTACAGAGAAGGACAAGCACGAAACTCTTCTCGCGGGCGTTATAATAACAGATAATTTCATATTAACGGCCAGCAAATTGCCAGCTGACGGGATTCCATGTGTGATAACTTACAATTTGGATGGAAAACACAGAGAACAGACTACAGAGAGCTTGGGAATACGAATTTATCTAAGCGAGCAAAACATAGATCCTAATTCATTACCTCAAGTACAACTTCTGGAACTCAACCCACCAATAATCTTTGAGCTTCCGGGATACATACCCGATATTATATTAGCGGAAACGATGAAATTAGCTAAACGACGGCCTAAAATACGTGAAAACGCTACCTTGCATACGATTCGTGAAAAAGATAATCAATATGATGTAGTGCAGATGGAGGTAAAGTTTGCAAGTAGAGTGGAGTGTGAAAAAGAAAATGAACACTTGCATCCACATGTCTTCTGTATAACGATTGTGGAAGGTGGGTGTGATGGGTGTAAAGATGTAAAGGCGGGCTCAGCACTTGTACAAAATGATGGTCTAATCGGCATAGTAAGCGAACGACAAAGCTGTGACCCTTCTAAGATGATATTATGCGCTAATGTCTACGAAGTTCGTAAGTGGATTGAAAGTAATGTAAATGTTGGTGGTTTCTGGCCATGGTCGTGGGCTGGCAATGGAAAGTTATTAAATTGTTGGTTGTTTTTGTCAGTAAATTTCTTAATTACATTTTGGTAGAGAAAGCTATTAACCTTTCAGCTTTTTTTCATCTACAATTTATCGTATTCTTGTAAATTTGTTATTATCATAAATTCCAGTGTAATTTTTCGTTATAAATACACGTCAATAATAATAAAAAATATTTCGAAAACAAAACAAACATTTATAAATTAAAAAACATTATTGCTAAGAGATCCCACAATAGTATTCTGAACGGAAGTGAATTTTTGAAGTAGATTATGTTTGCCGGACTGACTGTTGGTTTTGCGTTCTTCAAAAATCAGAATATCTGGTCAATGGATTTTAACATTTAAATGATTAATATGATCATTAGTGATCAGAAATCATTCGCGGTAAACTATTGTTGCGTGTCGTGTACTGTCGACACTGAAGAACAATCAAATTCAAAACCGAACGTCTAGTGAAAACTTCAGACAACAAAATGATGTTCGCCCAGGAGTCGCCCTTTTGACTTTATTTGATTTCAATTAAAATTCCCAAAACACGTCGTCACTGAATGTCGGCCTAATCCTAACTTACCATTACCTGTCATATTGCGAACTATAATTTAAATCGAAACAAAAGCATATGTGTGATCGAAACGAAGGTACGATCTTGACTCATCACATTCTTTTTGCTTCAGCTGCAATATTTCTTTCCGC